GTGGGGGGGGGGCATCCCGCTCAGCAGCAGACCCAGAAGTGGACCAGAAGCACTTCCGGGTCTGCCGGGGAGTGCACGGGGAGCCCCCTGTACCCCCCAGGGTCCCCCTGTGGCTGATCGCTGAGCCAGGGGGCATGGGGGGAGGGCGGGGCGGGCTGCACACTCCCTGGCAGACCCGAAAGCGGACTAGAAGTATTTCAGATCCATTTCCGCGTTTGCCGCCAAGCACATGGAGGGACCCCTGCACTCCTGTGAGATGCTCCATCTGCCCCAGGATCACAGCAATTACATACCATGAGGTATGTGGAAAAAACTTTTAAAGCCGTGTCTATGTCCAAATCGCTGATTCTTTGGATCAGCATCAAATCTTCAGATCTGGATTCGGCCGAATTGAGTCAGGGACAGTGATCTGAATCAACAAATTGAATCACTGTCCCTGAGTCAGGTGGAATGCGAATCGAATAGGGCTCGCTTCGCACACCCCTAATACTCTGTACCCATTGAAAGGCAGTGGGAGTCAGATGCCTAATTTTTGCCTTTGAAAACCTTTCCCTAAAATCTCTGGCCCTGCATATTTGGAGCTGGATTCTGGGCATAAATAGCTCCACAGCCCAGTCCAGGCTGGGTGGAAATGTACAGAGGGGAGGTATCCTGCACATCCCCTGTCTGAGGGCCCCCATGGGCAGGGTCAGCATCTTGACCCAGGTTAGGGCAGTGCTGAAGGCTGCCATCTCTTGCACTCCCTGGCCATTGCAAGGTTCCAGAGTGTAGTGCCACTGAGGCCACGGCTCACCTGCATCCCAGGCATATGCCTGGGCCAAGCTCTGCAGCTCTCATGCCTGATGTGCCTGCTTTGCATTGGTTTAATGGTACAAAGGCATGCAGCATAGGTGCAAAGATGTGCTGAAAAAGCCTCATGCTTCTCCCACTCCCGTTGGAGTAACAGCAGCATAACACAGATGCAAGAGGGAGGAAATGGGGTCCAAGTCAAACCCACTGTACCAGGCAGCAGCACACGCCAACACACTGGCTTGCTCTCCACATGCTACCTCCTGAACAACAAGCTGTGCAGCCATGTTGGCCTGGCACTGTGGGTGGGCCAAGTGTAGGGGCAGGCAAAATATGACCCATGGGCCAAATCTGGCCTGCCAAGGCATTTTGTCTGGCCCACATAGGGTCCCTTGGGGCAGCCTGGGCCGTGGCATGTGCAGCCACTCCCACAGCCCCTGGGCACGCAGCAGGGCTAGGCCAGAGTGGTGGCCAGATTCCATTCCCTGGCAGTCCCAGGGGCAGCGGCTCCTTCTGGCTGGCAGGCAGGGGGGACCAGGGATCAGGATTGGGATCGTGGGGTGGTGACAGCACAGGGCAAGGGCCCGGGGCAGAGCCATGATCTGCTCCCTGCATGTCCCTGTGCTGATTTTGCAGGCAGGGACCTGTGGGCATCAGATCGCAGCTCTGCCGTGGTTCTGGCTCCATGCTGTCACTGCCCTGTGATCCCAATCCCAGTCCTGGCCCTGGCCCTCACCTGCCAATCCTGCTCCTGCATGCTGCTCCCTGCCTGCCCACATCCCCACTCCTGCCACCTGGTCACACAAAGGGGCCACTTAGGGAGGTTTGGTGATCTGTTAGGGAGGAAGGGGTGTGGTGCTGACCTGGCCCAGAACAACTCTAAGGCTAGGGACAGACATTACACACAAACTGGTTTAGTGATCAGAAACTGGTTTAAACCTGTAACAAAACAGGCATTCAGTGCACATAAACTAGTTTGAAAATGGCTGAAACTGGTTTGAGGTAAACCTGGTTGAATGTAGTATCAGACTTAACTGATTTGACTCACACTGATTTATGCCATGTCTGTCCCAGACCCCTTCCTGGTTTAAGTTAAATCAGAGACCCCCCGCCCCTCTGCTCTCTAGCATCATCAGACACTGCCCTCCCCACCCCACCGGCAAACCCTGCAGATTGCAGCTGGCGTTTGCCAGCCCCAGCCGCACCTCCACTGCTTTCCTGAAGCCAGGCAGAGATGGTGTTAATTCCTCCCTTTGTCCAGCTTCCCTGCAGCCAGGGAGGGGATTAATTCCACAGGAGTCCTGGAGTGGGGAAGAGAGGCAAGCTAGTCCTCTGTGTGCAGATCCAAGATCTGCACCTGTGAGACCAGAGATAATACCTGCAGGACCAGACTGAGAGGTTGGAAGTGTTGGCAAAGACCTGACAAATCATTACATATATGTGCTGGAAATGGAGTTAAGGGAAGTTGCAGACAGCTTCTGGTTGGAAGTTGTAGACCAAAGAATGCAGAGAGCTACATTTACATTATAAAGCAGAACCTGTAAAACCTAAACAAAGCCTTTCTGAATGCCTGGTTGTAAGGAGACACTCTGCCCTCAGGATTAGTAAGACTTCTGCAAGGCTTTCTCTTGTCTTCCTGCTTTACATTTTAAGTTAGACTAAGTTGTGTATGCTGTGTTTTACTGGCCTGTATCTTAGCTTAGGCGAATATTTTTTGGTAGTTCCCTGTTGTATGCTTTGCAAATTGCTGTATTCAATACATGCTTGCTTCAGAGAGAGGACTTTTTTTCCCATCCCCACTCCTCAGTCTGGCAGCAGCTGTCCCTCCAAGGACAGGTTAGAACACTGCACAAGGTGAAATGGATGAGCAGGAGGCAGGGTACAGGGAGGTTTGGTCTTGCATTCATTTGACACTGATGTGAGATTGCTAATGTCTTGCGAGCAATGGAGCAGGTGTCCGGGGATGGGGGTGGAGGCTGGGGTAGTGGTGAAGGGCAGTGCATCACACTTAACCTAGCTTGCCCCCCACAAGTAGCTTCACTCTCAATCCTGTTAAAGCCCTGTGCCCCATATGAACTCATTTAGCTCTGGGAGAGCCACTGTTTCATCTTCATTGTGTCCCATCCCATCAGGATATTTGATTCATCCTCTCCCTTCTTCCCACTCCCTCTTTCAGGTGGAAGCATTCAAGAGGCCGTCTTTCTCTGAACTCCTGGATGAGCTGGAAGATGTAGCAGAGAGCCTGGAGCCCAAAAAGGACAATCAGCTGTCTGGATGATGTCCCAGGCTCTTCTGAGACCTGGCAGAGTCAGACTCAAACTGTAAATTACCTGTACATCCAATATTTGCAAGGGCAGAAAGAGCAAGGGTGAAAGAGCAAAGCAATGCAATGGTATTTATTTAACTGCATTCTCATTCTCTGGTTTCTCACATTGAAAATGTGGTTTAAAAAAATGCAAAGGGGCAGGTTTCCTGGGGTATTTTTTTTTTCTAGCTGAGGTTTTTAACAGAAACAATTCAGACTTTAAGTATTTTGTTGGGTTTTTTTTAAAGGAGGAAGTACTAATTTCTGTTGTAAATACGGGAGAGAGATTTCAGGTTGTGACCTTGGAGGGGATGGTGAATGCCTAAATTCCAGTGAGGACATCTTCTGAAGTCCATGAAGAGGAGTGGCGTTCTCCCACCTCTTTCCTAACATCCAGCCTTTGTCTCATTCTTCCAGCCTCTGGCTCAACTGTCTCTGGAGGCTGTGGGAAAAGGCACTGTTTAACAGAGAGGGGCTGTGTGGCAGAATATGAGCCAAGAAAGTCGCCTTACAGCACAAAGCCTTAAAACACCTGTCCAGTAGCCTTGTAAGGAGAATATACATTCCATTTTGTCTCTGGTCATGTGTCCTCCTTAAAGCACCAGCAAACATCCAGCTCTCCCAGTGTTCCCCAGCATTCCTACTGCCTCTGTCAGGGGATTTTGGGAGGTTTGGGGGACCCCAGCGGACTGAGGATGGAATTAAATTTGCCTGTTTGTGGGACATACCACTGCAACAGGGAGATTTGCCTTAAAACGATAAGACATTAACTAACAAACTAATCTAGACCCTCAGAGACACTCCATCAGAAGGACTTGTGTGTTAGATACATACCTGAACTGGCAGAGCTGCTCTGCTTGGTACAGGAGTGCTGTATTATTATTTTTTTTTAGCAGGCAGCTGTCCAGGTTTCTTGCCCTGAGTCTCCTCTCTCTCTCTCTCTCACTTACTCAATACTCAACTAATGTGTCTGTCCCAGTCTCCCCCAACCCTCCCCTCCCCATGCAGACATAATAACAAGCACGAGGATGAGTGTGGTGGAGGTCCCCTGTCAGTGATAAGTAGGGGCATGATGTGGACCAGTCTCACATCCCAGCCTTTGCTTGGCAGGTAGTACTGACCATTTCTTCCCAGGAAAGGCCCTACAAGATTTGTGCTGGGGACAGGACATAATGCCCTTTGCACTGAAGTTGTAGTGCATTATGCTGTGGGCCTTGAGATGAGACAGAAGGAGGTTTCTATCAGAAATGCATCTGGTGTTTTTAGTGAGGCTGGCAGCTCTGCTGTCTATTGGCTTAGGATCAGCTTCAGACATGGTTGCCTTGCTGCTTGCAGCACGCTTATCTTCAGTCCTAGAGCTAATGCACACAGGTAGGGCTCCCTCATGGGTACAGTCATGCATCCACTTTGTTTCTACCTTGCAACATTTAAAACCCACCACTCCCCTAAGAGGAAACACAAGCATTAGCAGATGTGTCCCACCCAGTGCCCTGAGCTCCTTGAGCAGGGGGTTGGACTAGAGACTAACTCTACTTCTCTAGGATTCTTTGATTCTGTGAACTCTACCAATGAAATCCTTTCATCAGTCTTGGGCAAGACCCAGCATCTAATTGTGATCTATAAACTCTTCTGAGGACAATTCCCATAACAGGTTCAGTCACAGTTTATGTACCAGTGTTGTCCGGCATCCATATTGTCCATGTGAGAGTGACAGGGACAGTGCAGTGCTGGAGACAGCCTGGATACCTAAGAAAGACGAGCAGCTCTCTGGCTGATGCCCCAGGCCCTCCTGAGCCCCAGCAGTCAGACTCAACTGTAAATTATCTGTACATCCAACATGGTAGAACTGCAGCCCAATGGCTGCCTGGGTGGGTTCTGTTGATGCATTAGTCAGGGTTGATGGTGCCATGGCTAAAGTTCAGTGACTTTTCCATCTGGAGCAGGAAGGTGTCTTTTACTGAAGGAAGGATTTGCACAGGTTGAACCCTCAAGGCAATATGGGGAAGCCCATGGGATTGCAGGGCTTAGGGGGTTGAGCAGAGAATGATACCTATGGTCTTTGGTCACTGCTCCTGGGAGGTGGGAGGCTGGGGGCAGTCTTCTAACCTAGCTGTGGCTGTTTCTTTGTCTGCATAGCAGAGGATGACCCTGACTCATTTTGCAGGGCCACTGGGAGGAGTCCTTAAGCCACAGGGGTAAAGTACTTTGCAAAAACTAAGGGCTAAGTGGTTTATTTCTCTGTGGGACAGATACTGCCTAAGGTGGTTATAAAGCAGTCATGGAAGCAGTTGGAAGGGGCAGCATGGGCTGTGGCAGCAGGGATTCCACACTGGGGAAGGAGAAAGGAGTGATTAATTGTTAGCAACTTCAAACAAACTTTCCTGTTGTAAAAAAAACTTGTAAAAGAAAGTGACACTTGATAAATACAATCCCTGACTCTGGGTCTGGTTTTGTTCCAATAGACGGTGAGGTCTTGTTTACCTGCGGCTTTTCACTGGGGCCAGACCCATAGCTGGTATCAAGTAGTGTATTTCCATAGACATTAATGGAGCTCTATTACTTTCAGCTAATGGAAGCTCTTGCCCACAGACTGAGTTCTCTGGAGCAAGGACGGTCTGTCTGTACAACAAGTATTTATACAGTGCTCAGCACAGCAGTGCCTCTGTCCTATTTGGAACCCTTCGGTGCTGCTCTCATATCATTGACAGAGCAGGAGGTGGGACCAGTACACACACTGCCATCGTGCACTGTTCCTTATTCCTTTCACAGGGTTTTTTTGACTGTACATTGGAAACTGTTTATAAACCTGTCCTGATGAGTATTCCTTTCACTCTGGGTATTCTGTGGAGTCTTTGAAGCTGGAACACCCTTTAGAGAGAGACTAGTAGGGGCATGGTGTGGACCAGTCTCACATCCCAGCCTTTGCACTAGTGACTTTCCACATCATGTGAAATATAAGCCCATTTGTGAGAAGAATGAAGTGGAATCTGTGGAAAGAAGGTCTGTGGTGTCCAGGGACAGATATATCACTGGAAATGGTTTTGCATTCTCACTAGGGACTATAAGGAATATGAAGACTGTATAAAATACACTTAATGTAGCAAACGTGCATCATAACAGTGAATTTACTAGTTTATGTTTCTTGGAAATCATTTGTTGCTTCTCTTGTACTGTTGTCATGTTTCTGTCATTTGCTGATGAGCTTAAACACAAGGGACTTCTTGCTCAAGAGTTAAAATATGCCTGGGAAGAATCTCAGTCCCAGCTGGGTTTCTGTGCTGCAAGCTACAAGGCAGAGTCGCGTAGCAGAAAAGCAGCTGGGTGAAAATTGCTTAATTATGCTACCTGGGAGACCATGGTCAGCTTTGCTGATGTCCCTCAACTCGCTTCTCACTCTGGAGTCTCCATACCAGCTGAGTGGAATTCGCTGAAGATTGTATTTACTGCTTGGCAGTGCAAACAACATTGATATGCACTGTGTATCTTCAGCAAGAGCCAGGCACTGCCTGCGTCACAGCAAAGTGCAGGGTAATAGAAAGTAAATAACAGGGTTTGCATTTAACTGTTAAAAGGAAATGCACAGTGTGAAAGGAACAGGAAAGGAGGAGAACTGCTGAGTTAACCCCCTTCCCCCTTTGAATCTGCCAGGCAGCTGGGGATGCAGCTCTTAACATGTCCACGTCCAAGTCCAAGTGTGGTGACTGGAGTGGAACCAAGCCTCAAGGCCCAGCCCTGTATCAATGCATAACTCCCGCTGACATCAGTGGCAGCTGTTGGCTCAGAAAAGGACACATGGCTATGCCACTATACACACAGTGTTCAGTAATGAGGGGCCCCATCCAAAGCCCCTTGAAGTCAATGGATAGCAGTTCTTTTGATCCCAGTGGGCTTTGCATCTAGACCATAGACTGAATTTATTACCTTAGCCTAGGCTCTCTCTGTCTCTGCAGGATCTGAAATCTGAGGTTCCTCTGTTGTAAGGTTTTTACAACAGTAAAAATATGACGGATCCAAATTGGCATGGACAGCAGGTTCACTGGGTCTGAAGTGGGCATTTGAGATGGTAGGGGACAGAACCTCTACTAGGGGCACAGATTGTTCTAAAAATCAAAATCTTTTAAGAGTAAGGTGCTCAGTTCCAGTCTGGATGGAGTTTGGAGTGCTGTTGACATGTCACCCCATGGAGCTGTTGCGTTCTTTGAGGTGCAACGCTAGGACTGAGGCATCTCGGAGAGATGAATACACTCAGCTGTCAGCTCATCTCCTGGAAGCACTTCTTAAGAGCATAAAGAATGGCCACCTTCTTCTACAGCTAGTGAAAGTGCCTGCCTTAGTGCTCACCCCTCGCCCCCTAACCATGAGGCTGCTTCAAGGAGGATGGAGCAGTTATTTCCAACAAGGGCCTGTTCTTCAGGAACTCACTGCAACTCTGTTCCCCCAGCAGTACAGAACATGGCAAAGAAACCCCACTACATGAAGACAGAAGGTAGCCTAAAAGTGGCGGGTGGCGGGTGATAAACACAAGGGCTGAACATCCACTGGAAACTTTAAAGTGGACCATAATTGCTACGTTCATGAAAACTCTGTCAAACGTCTAATAAAAAGTCATTGACTGCTTTAAGTTGTGTTTCTGTAAACAGCAGCATTCTCTTTAAAGGGAATACAGTTAGGGGAATGAAACGGTTAAGGAAGATGTTTCATACATAGCAGAGGCATCCATTAGTACCCTTGACAGATGGGTGAGAGGATGCACCTAGGTGTATGTGTGGAAGTTGGTCACGTTACTCAACCAGTCCTGTAGCCCTGATTGGAGAGAAATGGATGCCAGTCAGGTCCTTTCTAGACACTGGCAGTGGAATCATGGCACCACTGATGTCCATAGGAGTGTTGCCATTGTCTTCAACAAACCAAGGATTTCTTCATGAGCATTGAAAGAGCTAAAGATAGAGATGATCCAGAGCATACCTATTGTTTCTGACCAGCCTTGAAATGTGAGGAAGGTCTCCTGTTGCTGAGGTCTAGGATCTGTCTCCAGGAGTCAGGACTTAGATTCCCTGCCCAAGTTTTGGGGAAAGTCCAGCTGAGTATTTGAAGTTCACAACTTAATGCCTGGACTCTGAGATGCAAAAACCATGGTAGAAGACCTGAGCAGCTCTGCCATTGTTGTCAAGGCTGTGCTATCTCCTCTTAGTCACAGTTAATCACAGGCTCAGCTCATCTGTTCCCTACCAGCAGACACCTTCTCCTCGTGATCTTCTCATTAATGCAGTGGATGCTCTGTTCTGCAGAACCTGTTGGGGGCACAGATTGCAGTAATGCACTGGGGCTGACAGGCCTGAGTGTTTGTCATGTGATGTGTCTTTTTTGTAAAAAAAAAAAAATGTGACCTGGGAATAAAGTGCAGTGCTTCTTTCCCACATCAGTCCTAGTATGCATTTTGTTTTGTCCTGGGTCTATTGAGGAGTGTCACTGAAAGGCTGCTCGATCCCAGCCTGATGCAGCTAAAACATCTAAATGGCTTCTTCATGCTCTATTTATCCATGTAACTGACATTACAAGCCTTTTGTTAACATACAAGTGCCACGCTGTATGCACTACGGGATGATGGTATTTTCAACTGCTTCCTCAGCTGTTCCCCTCTGCTTGTATTGGTCAACAGCTTTTATTAAATCTCTCCCCCACCTCTCCTTGCTTTGGTTCAGGAGAGACAAACAACACATGTAACATGCAAAGGGAATCAAATAGGCTGCTATTCCACCCCAGCCAAACCCTCCCACGTCCAAATGGCAAAATGATTTCCCTCCCAAATGCATTTATGTTTTGTGCTTTCTGACTCGTACAGAGCAAACAGCTGCATTAATTGCTCTTCAGAGGCAGCCCACTCACAAGGATACCTAATATGCTCAGAGAAGGATGCATTTGTTGTGCCACACAGTTATGGACTAACTGGAGTCTCCCGTATTCAGACAACAGCTCTGTGTGTGTGGACTTTCTTAGGCCCCAGGTCAGAATACTGTGTGCTGAGTGGAAGGGCTGCAAGGTTTCGGTGCTTGATGCCTCTACACCCTGTATTGAAAGTAACTCATGCCCAGTGGCCGGGGCATTGGAAAGAGGCCTTTGTGTGAATGACAGTTTGGCTCTAAACAACAGAAAGCTAAAACGAAATCCTTAAATTCCACTTTAGGGCATGTATACAAGCATTCATATTTTCCAAAGAGCGGAGTGCTCAGCTGCTCCCATTAGTCTCTTATTTCAGAAATCTTCTTGTCATCTATATACTGGTCCTAGTGAATTTAATAGGAGTTGTCTGTTGACTTCAACAAGTCTAGGGTTTGGCCGTGGCTGTGGTAAGTTCAGCTGTTGAAGCTGTTGGTGAAACCCTTGGGAAGCAGCACTTGTTTAAATCACCGAGTTGATGACACAGACTGGGTAAAACTGCTCCAGGGAGGAACTTGGGTGAATTTGGTTCATTTTCAGACCAGGATGGCGTATTTAATATATAAACGGGAAGACCCTAGAGATGGGGACCCAGCGTAGCTCAACATAAAGGGAAAGCCCTCCGTAGCTGGACTGAAGCAGGCCCATACTCTCTGTTAGTCAGGCAGAGGGGACACAAATACACCCACCCAGGAGGTTCACAGGCTCACTCATAAACTGGGTCCCAGCATTTTTCAGTGGCTTTTTTTGGGAGGGACAAAGCTTATGATCATTTTGCAGCTTCCAGGTCAGGTCACTTGAGTTGAAGGAAGCATCCCTACTGACAGAAGCCCAGTATGAATTGCAAAGGCAGCCCCCCCTTTAAGTTCCTTAAGTGAGCATCCAGAAGCATTCTTCTCCCTCTGCCTTCCACAGCTTAATTGCCCATCATTTGCATTGAGAGAATGGTTACAGAAGTTTCAAAGGGCTTTTTTTTGTGTTTGCTTCTTAGTTACTCCTTTCCAGAACATTAACAAGGAAGACAGAGAGGCTTTCAAAAGCAGCTACACCAAATGCCTCAAAGGCCCCAAGAGAGGTGCATGGCTGGGCAGCATAAGCTGTTACTGGGACAAGTGTTAATGGAAAGAAATGGCTAGGATTATTTATTCTGTTCTGGTGCTTTTCCCCAGGGCATCTGTGGCAGGGGGAAGATGGACACTTGGAGTAAAATCAGTCCTGAAAAGAATTTAGGGAAGGGGAGTTCCAGATCACAGACAGCTTCTCGTAAGCAAAGGTGGTATAAAATGATCCCCCCAAAAGCTAGATGTAAAAGCTGATAGATGATTAGTACACTACCGGCAAAATGGTTTGGGGCAGGGGAAGGGTCTGTGGTAGCACCCCTTGGACTGGGCAATTTTAGCTCTAGATTGTTACGTACCCCAATGTTTATGGGCACTGCTGCAATCAGGATGTCAGGTATACCCGTGTACTCATGACCATGTTGTGCTAAATCAGGAGTCT